GTGTTTCCTTTAACCAACTGGCGCGTCGCAAGTTTTAGCAGTCTCAGGCATAGCAACAAGTCTTGCATACTTGGAAAAGCGGTCTACTATAACGAAGATGTGTCTTTTCCCAGACCTGCTGGTCACAAGAGTATCCATGAAGTCCATGGACACACTCTGACCAGGACCTTTAGGAATCGGCAAGGGCTTGATGAGCTCAAGCGGAGCCTGAGTCCTAGGTTTGTCACGTTGACAGACCTGGCAGGTTTCGACATACTTTTTGGCATCTTCCATCATAGAAGGCCACCAGAATTTCTGTACTAGGTTCGCTGAAATTTTCGTATACCTGAAATGTCCAGTTGCATCATGACACTCACCTAAAAATAAACTACGCAAAGACTCTCTAGTTGGAACACACAATTTTTTATTCCCTGCCTTATCAAGAAACAACAATCCATTGACCAGCACAAACTCATCGGAGGTAGCTTTGTCCTTAGCCTCCAGTTTGCAAATGATCTCAAACAAAACTGGATCTTCTTGATAGGCTTCCACCAGTGATCGAGTGAGTTCGTCAGATATGTCAAATTCGGTTACTAAGGCCCCCAGATAATCTGCCGTACGTGATAGCGCATCAACCACCTTGTTGTACTCTCCCTTGATAGGATCAAGTTGATAGTCATACATATCTATCACTTGTATCCATCGCTTTAATGCTTCAGAGAGTATCGGTTGTGTCTTGATCCAACGCAAGGTCTTATGGTCAGATCTTACATAAAAGAATCTGCCAAGGAGATAGTGTCTCCAATGGACCAGTGCTCGGTATAGGGCATAGAGCTCGCGCTCATAAGTGGACCTGGCTAGTTTCTGAGATGGCATCTTTTGACTCATATACTCGATCGGTCTCAACTTTGGCCCCTCCTTTTGCGCAAGGACCGCGCCTATGCCATWYTGGCTGGCGTCTGTGGTCACGACAAAGGGCTTATCAGGATCTGGAAGTTTGAGAACTTCGTAGTGTGTCAGAGCATGCTTCAATTTCTTGAAGCTTGCTTCACACTCTTCAGTCCACTCCCAAGGGGTGTCAAGTCGAGTTAAATTTGTTAATGGGGAAGCTATAGTACTATAGTTCTTTACAAATGAACGATAGTAGCCCGTTATCCCAAAAAACGATCGGACCTCAGTAACAGTCTGAGGCCTGGGCCAATCACGTATGCTGGCCACCTTAGCATCGTTTGACCTCAACCCATCCGCAGAGATTTCATGGCCCAAGTACAAGATCTTGGTGCGACCGAACTCGCATTTCTCCAAGTTAACCCTGTACTAGTGCTGTCTTAGGAGATCTAACACTATTTTCAAGTGCTCAGCGTGCTCCTCTATAGTCTTACTAAAGATAAGTATATCGTCGAGGTACACGACAAAAAACTTGTCTAAGTACTCATGAAATATCTAGTTCATTGCATGCTGGAATGTACGAGGGGCATTGCAGAGGCCAAAGGGCATCACCACAAACTCGTACAGATCGTACCTGGTCTTGAAAGCGGTTTTGTGTTGGTCCTCGGGTCTAATGGCAATTTGATGGTATTCGGACTTTAGATCTATCTTAGTAAAGTATCGGCATCCCTGCACTCTATCTAGTAGGTCGTCGACGCGGGGTAGGGGCTCCGCGTTCTTTACGGTGATGGCATTGAGGCCCCTATAATCAATGCACATCCTCAGTGTACCTCCCTTCTTAGGGACAAATAAGACTGGAGCACCGTATGGGGAGGTACTAGGCCGAATCCATCCCTTCTCTGTGAGCTCTTTGAGCTGGCCGCGGAGCTCATCTAACTCCGCGGGAGACATCCTGTAGATGCGTCCTCTAGGTATCTTACTACCGGGGACAACCTCTATTGCATGGACCACCTCCCTCTCAACCACTCGACGACTTTTTCTATCTCTGGGGGTGATTTTATGGCCTCCCCTTTCTCAGAGAGAAAGACTAGATGCATGCCCTCCTCGCGATTCTGCTTATAGTAGTTATAGAAAGAGGAGGCACACGTGCAGCCGTAGTTTTCCACTAGACTGCTAGCTTTAAACTTTTGCAGTCCTACTGTTTGGCAGCTTGTGTATCAACACCTTCCTATCCCAATCGAACTGAGGTTGAGCAACCTCGAGGTAGTACATGCCTAGCAACATGTCAAAGGGCAGTTCGTCGCTGACAAAGAATGAGATTTTGTGTCTCACTTCTCCTCCTCCATAGAAGAAGGTACAAACTACGTCCCTGACATAGTCCTTGACTAACATTTGGTGCTTGTTGGCTAGCGTAGAAGCTACAGTTCTGCTAAGCCGCTGCACTTGGTCCCCTAAGCGCAGTCTGTCCACACAAACACGACTGATGAAATTCCGTGTAGAGCCTATGTTTGCGAAGGTTCCTACTTTGCGGCCACCTACATTGACCTCTACCACGAAATGTTCACCCTTAGGACCTCTACTGATCATCGCCCAAGACTCTCTGGGGTCCTTCCCTGACCACTCAGACTGTAACTCCTCTAGGGACTCAGACACATCTCTCGAACATAGCATCGGTGGGTCTGAATGTGCCTGCGGGGCGATCTATGGGTCACTAGTCCCGGCCAACGCCTGAAGTGGGGAAGGCAACGTTACCACTTCAGCGCGAGTAAGAGCGGCTAAAACTCCTACTGGCCCGAGGTGTTTCCCTGTGAAGAGCTCGCAAATGCACTGGCAGGGTTCGAAGATTAGCCCACCACCGTTGGCGAGGCTACCTTCGTTGTGACTTTCTTGCCTCGGCACGTTCTAGAAGCGTGGCCATAATTGCCACAATTCATGCACGTGCCCCTGGCAACTCGGTCCCTCCATACCTCGTAATCTAAAACAAGTTTCACCCATGCGGGCGTTCCTTGGTCGCCCTGACCCGTGGACCGTACTACCTTCTTTGATAGGTGCCACAACTCCCCCATCCGAAGCCTCGCTGGCCCCATCATGCTCTGTCTCATCCCCTAGATCTGGGAACTCCTCAATTTCGGTCGTCTGACCATCATGGTCGACGAACATTAACTGGCCCTTCTTCTTCCAGTCTTGGGGAAGCTTCTTCCTCCTACCATTTGTGGGACCCTGATGCGAGGCGAAGCTATGCTGGTCTACATAGGCCTCATCTACCAGTTTATTTTTGACGTCTGTAGGTAGACATCGCAAATAATCTGTGAGAAGTACCTGGGGGTCATAGCGCACACTCGGTACCACGATCAGCCTCTTTACAGCGTCTGTGACCTCGCAAACTGTCCGGTACCTCTTGGTACTTAGACTGCTGATCGCATCGGTGGCCTTTTGAGCATCCTGAGGGTCGTGCCACCTTGTGTACACAGTCTGTACGAATTGTTCCAATGTTTGGGCCTGGGCCTGGCATCGAAGTTCTGATCGTAGCCCTGTTGCTTCACTAAGCCATTCAACCAGCGTGCTGCTGATCCCTCTAAAAAGGAGGCAGCCACTATAACTTCTTGCTCTGGCGTGGTAAGCTCAGTCCTCACCCAGGTATCCAGGTCCTCGTCCTTCTTCTTGTCGCCAGAAAAAGGTTTAGGACTCAGCAATGGGATCTTAGGCATCCAATGCATGGGCTGCATTGGCCCAGGAGATTGCTGCAGTGGCTGCATAGCCACTGAGACAGGTTGCTTGTTGCGCGCTAACCTGAGCTTGCACTGACGATGGGACTGTAGTAACCACCTTCGTAGATGGTACGGTTGAAGGTCTAAGAACCGGACCACTAGTTACCACAAAACCACCTGGAGGGGGCATGCCAAACATAGGCGAGAATGAGGGCCCTGCCGGAAACGGCGTCGCCGAGGGGCCCGCAACTGAAGGGGGAGCTACAGCAAACTGAGGCTGCCTCATCAATGGACGAGGAGCCTGCAGTGCAGCCAGAATTCGTTTCTGGCCTGCCACTAGTTCAGCCAGCACCTCCTGCTGAACAACCTGCGTTTCAGCCACACACAGGAGCGAATTCTGCAGTGCTTGCAAAGTGGGATCAAGTGTTGACTCATCTAGTGCTTCAAGTTTGCCTAGCTCCTGTATTCTACTACGTAGTCTAGCTTTTCTCAATATATCTCTTCTTCTTCTCTCTGCTGCCTCATCCAACTGCCGCTGTAGCTCATCCTGAAGTTCTTCTGCTTGGAGGATCTCATAATCCTCCGGCGTGAGTTGAGCCTGTTGGCTGACTTGCAAGCCAACAATCGGCGGCGAGAAGAATGGCTGGGAAACGGTACTGTACTGGTGGTTTAGATGCTCAGATTTTCAGGTATGGGCCTGTGGACCAAGTCGCACAGCTGATCCGGTCCGCCCAGATTCTCGGATTGTGGTCTTGGCAGGCATATATTGTGCACTGGGCCCAGATGAACTGTATCCATGGTCATCGGCTTAACGACCCTGGTGAACTCAGGCCGGTTGACCAGATATCCGTCTGTCCTGCCGAGATGCTTATATTCATGGATGCTCATTGGAGGGAGGCTTGATTTTCATCTCTCTCTCTCTCTCTCTCTCTCTCTCTCTCTCTCTCTCTCTCTCTCTCTCTCTCTCTCTCTCTCTCTCTCTCTCTNTCTCTCTCTCTCTCTCTCTCTCTCTCTCTCTCTCTCTCTCTCTCTCTCTCTCTCTCTCTCTCTCTCTCTCTCTCTCTCTCTCTCTCTGTGTGCGGCCTAAGTGTAGTGGTAGGGAAATTGTAGTTCCCATTTTGTTGGTTCTTTTCCATGATGTTTTGTTCAGTGCTGAACCCATCACCCTTTGAGTATTTGTTTCGCGCTTGTGTCTAAGGGCGCTGGTTGGAATCTGTGCGTGCACGGAGGAGGTCTGAGGCCTAGATGTTCGCATCCATAACTACTGACCTCGTGTGTGATTTTCTTTTCCCTTTTCACATTCTGTACATTTTTTAGACCTCGAAGCCTTGAGCAGCTCAGACCTCATTCCAAAAAGTACTTGCCAAGTCCTTGCATTAAAAGCTATGAGTGAATTCTTTGGCTGTTTGCTGGTCTTCCCTGCAGTCAAAAGTATGGGCATGTGAAGAGCTTATCAGCCTCTACAATGAGACAAACACACTTTTGGTGGATGAATGCGCTTACAAGGTAAGGCTGTTTCATCTTCTGCGTACTCCTTATACACGTACTCTCTCTAGTAGAATAATTCCTTAGCGTCCCACGTCCAGTAAGTGTGGTTGATGATTCTTGTGCAGAAAGGGGGTTTTAGTTCGGGTTGTCAGCTCTTGTGACTAAAGGGGTAAGTGGCTAAAGGGGTAAACGGATGCATTCCTTGCCTGCATGGATGGATCTAAGGCCAGAAAGTACAGATTCACCAACCCAGACAATCTTTTTCAAATGTTCTTTTTTTTGAAAAATCATACGAACACAAGATTTCSAGTTTTAATCGATATTTGTGGAGTTGATTATCCTTCTCGAAAAGATAGATTTGAAGTGGTGTATAACTTACTGAGTATTCAGTATAACTCACGTCTTCGTGTACATACACGTGTAGATGAAATAACTCCCATCTACACTGTTGTCAAGGTCACTCTTGGAGGGAACACTGATGGAGAGCTGAGTGCTTATGCAAGAACAGTGTTTCCGCGATATTGCTTTTTCTCTTTGAACTATGTTGCTTTGTGTTTTTCTGATATTCAATTCTCGAATGAGTGGGTGAAAGTTTGTGCAAAGAAAAAGGATGTTTGCTTGTTATTCCTATTCTTACATGGGCCCTTGGCTGTCAACCTTGCCGCAGATCATCAAGAATCCGCCTTACACTTCAATGCATCCTCCGGAGTATGTAGGAAATGACAAAGGGGATAACGCTCTTGGTGAAGGGGGGTTGATCAGGGAGGAATTGAAGAGGTTCCAGGGGGCGGCATCTGTTCAGTCATTTGCAAGAGCGTCCCCTTTGGCTTTGAAGGCTGGTAAGTTGACAGAGCTTTCTACCCAGCTTGCACGAGCACAACTTGCCCTTCTTGAGGAGCAGCGGGACAACTCTCGCACCACGAGCGAAGGAACCATAACCCCAGAATCTTCGCAGGAGGAAGGAAGCTGTGCGACCTCCACGAATGGTAGCTCCAGAAGCACGAGCAAGTCGGGAACACCAAGGCACCAGTTGAAGCGCAGGAGCAGCTTGGACGGATCGCTACCACCTTTTCGAGCGGGAGGAGTGCTACGGAGGTTATCTCTGAGGGAGACAAACATACCCACCCGATCCGTGACCCAGCCAAGGTCACCTGGCAGCAAGGCCCGAGCTCCTGCCAAGCTGAAGGATGCTGGCAGCCCTTTTGTATGATAGGTATAGTTTCTTTTTCACTTAGTCCACATTCCATTGAGAATCCCCACCAGTTCCTTCCCCTTCTGTTGGCCCTTGTCTTCTCTGCCTTCTGTCAGTGTGGCTGCACTGCTGATGGCAATTATGTATCCGGAAGCTGCGGACTCTGTTCGTCCTCTTCGGCTTAGTTACTCGTTTCTAGTTCCATGATGTCAGCTCTCGTACGTACTTGCCTCGCTTCCTATTCAATGTGCGACTGCAATGCAGCGACAGGCAGGCATTCCAGCCATGTGCAGTTATCAGAAGACCTTGTGTGGAGGGCGAACCGCATGTGTCCCATGCCTGAGAGGATGAAGGTCTCGCTGTCTTGCAGTTGCACACAGAGATGATGCCCAGAGAGGATGAAGGCCTCTGATAAAAGCCATTGAAGGGTTCATTCTGTCGTAAAGGGACCAGCCCAGCCAGTTGTCAGCTTCCGGATGGTTCTTCGCAGAACGTCTCAGCAACCTGCCAACTCTGCCGGTCGATGGTATCCTCCTCGTGTCGGCAGTACGTTTCGTTTGCGGTCTTAAAGGTTGTAGGAGTGTTCTACATTCCCTTTCCTCGCAATATAGTTGGCATATCGTGTAATGTGCAGGGTGCTGGTCTGTGCTTGAGATATATGTGCACAGACTCCTTATGCTCAGCGAGTTCCCCAAAGCACCAGACTTCAGTGGCAGCATAGAGCAGCGGAGAGGACGCGCGGCAGCATGGTGAAGACGAAGGGCGGCAAAGTTCAGTAGATCTTTTGTCGTCCATAGGTCTGTTATTCTGGAGGAGCTTCCCTCCCCACCCTGCCTTGGTTTGCTCCTTCATGTGCAGGCCCTGGCAGGCAGCCGGGCAGCAGGTTTTGACGTTCGTTAGGATCTCTCTGCTTCTTTTTTTCCCCCCTCCCTCTATCTATTTGTCTGCTTCTTTGTCAGGGAATGATCACACTTCTTCATGCCCCCTTTTCTTCTCTTCTGTGTAAACATGTCGTAGTTTCCAGGCATCTTCGTTTCAGGGCATACTCACACTAGGACTATTTCGACTGGGCTCTGGATGTGATCAGGGTCAGATACGTCCAGGTCTTGCCGTGATTGCAGTCAGATGCACTCAGGAAAGTGCTCGTGTGAGTATGACCTCAGTGAGTCATTTGCAGCCACATATGGAGCTTGGGACAAATGGAGGTGGTGGGATGTTTCCCGGTCTTCTTGGCTACGTCGTTGACGATTTGTCAGTTCTGACACTCACTTCCATTACATTGTTGCAGCAGTCGGCCTTTTTCTATTTTTGGCAGTTTTTTCAACTTTTGCCCAAAAGCGATGGAGTGCGCGTAGTGTAAAATGTTTCTTCTCGCCTCTCATGGAACTTGCAGTAGGTGGATGCCATAATGAAGTGGCCACGAATGAACGCCTTTTCCCAAACTTCTGACATGTCTTTACCGGTCAAGCTCTACTATAGTCGTGGGCCAGTTTACGACCTAGCAAGCTTGGCATCATCATAGATAGGGACCCCTCGCTGCAACTCAGCGCTGTAGTTTTGACTCTTTCAGTGACTGCAATTTGGCTGCTGCTGCGTGGACGCCTTTCCGCTCACAAGCCTGAGCACACAAAACAAACAAACGAACAATAAGCGGTAGTGGAATCTCACAAAGACGACAGTAGTTTGTTACTCCCTCCCAAGGAGAGCAGAGGGTCTGTCTGAACCATTGTAACTCGGAGGAAGGTGGAGGCTATGTCAGCACAGCAGGCTTCTTTAGCAGAGACGTTGGTGGTGGTCCTCACACTTGCATCACGGATGACATCAAAGGCATCATGCATTGAGGTAAATGAATGGCCTCATGTTGTGTTGAATTCGATCGATCAACACACACTCAGAGTTCGCAGTGCCCGAAAGAGAGCACTTTGTCTTGCAAAAGAGTCGAACGAGGTCCGGGATGCGGTACTCGAGAAACGGCATGCGGTCCATTTCTCAGGCAGACACATTGACCTGTCATCTAGTGGCAAAGAAGCCGCATACACTGATTTGGCCACGAGCCAGTACTTCTCCTTGGAGAGCAGGTGTCATCCTCTGGGTACTGATTCCGGTGTGGAACAAGATCTGCCAAGTTGGTTGGCATCTTGGAGTCGTTTTCAGGAACACACTCCAGGACTGAAAAAGGTGCATGCGTTCTGGAGGCCGAGGGGGAGGAAGATGATGCAGCCACAAGCTCGTCTGTTGGGAGAGGGGAGAGCAGGTGTTATTTGGCTGGCTGGCTAATGTTGACCTGGGTCTATCTTGAAGTCATTTTTCAAGGACACGCAGGTCTGGTCTAACATCCTGAACTGAATAAGAGAGCTTTTGTTCTGTAGTGCAAACACCGGCCAGCCACAAGCTCGGACATGTCTCCTGGGAGAGCAGGTGTCGTCTGGGTAGCAAGCGTTAAACTGAATTTGCCAAGTTTTTGACAGTTTGAGGTAGGTTTTTAAGGTTTTGGTGCACAATTTCTTTTCTCGCATAACAGATCCCTTTTCCACTTCTCATGCCTCATTTCTTCTTAGAAAGGAAATTACCTGTTTGGCTTTACGACAGGGTTGCGAAGTTACTGGGTATATTGATTGAGCAAGCAAACACCATGACGTTTCAGATGCGTAGTCGTCATAGTGTTCTTGCTACCGGAGTGACGGTTTTGTGCTTGGTCGGTTAACATGATGTAAACTCTTTGAGCGCACTCACAAACTCTATGTCATAATACATCTTCAAACACCTAGGAACGAAGAGCGCACTCGCAAACTCTATGTCATAATCTATCAATCTACCTTCCTATATCTACCTATGATGTATTTGTCACCCGCCTGACCACCTATCTATATTTATATCTTTTGGTTCCAACGCATCAAGGTGTGTGTACCTACCTATGCAATCAGACTCGTTTTCAAACACACTTTTCATGCATGTAAACAGCAACGCAGCATACTGGCGACATGCGCCCACACAGATGTGTATAAGAGACAGCTCTCTCTCTCTCTCTCTCTCTCTCTCTCTCTCTCTCTCTCTCTCTCTCTCTCTCTCTCTCTCTCCCAATGCTCCTCTTCCATTCGCGCTGGAAACCCTTGACCCGTCCTGCTGCATGTGATTGAGTGGTTAATGTAGAGTTGTCACTTTTGTGCGTTTGCTTTGTTGTTCCAGCTCTTGATTATGGACATTAATGGATTCCTGGTGCACCGCTGCTTCAAGAAGGAGTACAACAGTCGATTAAGCTGTGGTTCAAGAGTAAAGTTTTTCAGGCCTCCAGACGGAGCTGTCGGACAGTTCTACATCTGGGAGCGAGCACATAGCCGAGAATTCATCCGTTGGGCAATGGCAAATTTTGCAGTTGGGATTTGGAGCTCTGCTCTGCAGCGGAATATTCATGGGTTGTTGGAACACTTGCTGGGAGAAAATGCAGAAGAGTCCTTCACCTTCGTATGGGATCAGAGGTTTGTGCACCGTAGACCTTGTGAGGAACGACCCTTCCATTCGCTTTCCCTTTCCATCTCCTCGTCTTGCAATGATGCGCCGGTTCTTCACTTTGGTCTGCAGCTACAGATTTTTCGAGATCAGGGAAGCTTTGCAGATTCAGATCGAGGCATATTTGACCGCTGTGCAATTGAGTGGTTTGTTGGGTGAAAAACAGATTTTTTGAAGAGGTTGCGTCCTCCTTTCTCATTACAGACAAGTTCCGTCCTCCCTATCAACGACCGTAGATTGTCTAATGCAGTTGTTTATCAAAAGAAGTCTTTGATCTGTTTGCTAAAGTCAAATGGATACTGATTGGCTGAAATCCTTGTTGTTGTCGGTGTCATTGTTGTTGTTTGTTTCATTCCCCTTGCTGCTGCCATGATCTCGTCTTCAATTCTGTTTCGCCTTTGACTTAGCATGTGCACTGGATCTGGTCTAAGGCACCCGGAAAATCGGCACAAAGCCATCTACTTCAAGGAGCTGGTAAGAGCTCTTACATGTAGCGATATTTCTCTTCACTTGACCAATCGATTGAATGTGTGATTGTTTGTTTGTTTGTTTTTTTTTTTTTTTTTTTTTTTTTTTTTTTTTTTTTTTTAAAGCTGTCTTCTCCTCATCGGGGGACTGCTGTTGTATTTTTTCTCTCAATTTTCTCGTATATATGGACCCTCCCAGCATGGTCACACTAAGGGTTATGGGTTGGATTTCCGGCCTCCAACTCTGTTCTATGCGGGGAACAGTACCCCGGCTCCTAACACCTGGCACGAGATGGAAAGCGACTGCCTGCTTCGGCAACCAGCCTGGAGGCCCAAGCCAATTATCTCCACTGGTGAACCCGAAGTGTATCACAGGGGGCCGCGGGGGATTGAATGGATGACGCGGGGAATCGAACCCATGACCTCCAGAATACCGCTTACGTGCTCAACCAACTGAGCTAGCCCGCTTGGGCAGATTGAATGTGTGATTTGATTTGAGAGAACTCACTTTTTCTGTGATTCTGGTTGGACATGCAGTGTAAAGAAGAGGTTCGTCTTCACTTCATTTCCCCCCTTTTTTTATATTTGACTACGGTCTTCACCCGAAATTCCCCGAATAGGATTCTGCCCGGTTATAATAGCTGTATCTGGAGCCTGGACTGAGAGTTGCCCCATATACAGCTATAATGACCAGGCGTGCTATTCAGGTGAAGATGGTAGGTATTCTCTCAGCCGTCCTTCCATCTCCTTTCCCCCCCCTCTGGGAAAAAAAAAGTCAAAAAGGAAAATCCCTTCTTTACTGAATATCCTTAGACCCTTTCCCCTGCTGAGACGCAGGTGACCACTGATCCAGGCCTGCGACCCCTTATTTTTCTGGGTGCCTATTTCCCCCTTGCACCACACCATGCAGGTGTGCTCGCACGCCGTACATGCACAATTTTGCATGTATGCCATTGTATGGTGAAAATCTGCAGACAGTAAGACTGTGCCCCATAATATCAGGGGCTGTCATCCATGTTCTCCGTCAATCCGTTCATTCTCCTCTTCTTTGGGGTCGCCAGCAAAGCTGACTCAATATGGGACCTTGCTTGACCACTCACCAAACGGAATTTGCTGCGGTGAGCTGGGCTACCAGAGTGGCCCGGGACCACTTGCCCGGCCGGGCCGGAAAAAAAAAAAAAAAAACTCAAGTTTATTTTTTATTTGCAATTCGGTGAAGAATTTTGATGTGACCCTGAGGCAAAAATTGTTCAGTTTATTTTTCTGCATAACGTAGTTTGTTTTCAGATTTTTATCATTTTTTGGAGTTTTTCTTTTTTTGCTGGGACCCTCTTTGGCCCTTGCACGGCCGGGCCGCCCGGGAAAACAAGGTGACCTGGGCGGCCCGGCTGGTAGCCTAGGCGGTGAGAGCTCACCAAGGCGAATTCTCACCAAACTAGTGTCGTCGCTCCACCGACTCACCAAACTCCCACTCTCACCACACGGCCGTGCGCCTTCAGTTGGTCGGGACTGTGTGCAGGCAGGGCCAGACTCACCACCTTTGGTGAGCCCCGTAGAGGAGGCACCACAACTCCACCTCTCCTGTCGGGAAAAACAGTGGCCGTGATAATCACTCACCACGGCCCACTCGAAGCTTAGAAATCGACCATCTGACAGAGCGGCCCTGGTGAGGTCAGGGAGCAACAGCCCCACTCATCAAACATCGTGTTTGGTGAGTCATGGAGCGAGGTTCGTAGTTTGTTGCATCTTTCTTGCTTGGCTGGTGCTTGCACAAGTTAAAACTTAAAACCCAACGATCTCTTGATTTGCTGGATCTTCCTTGCTTACCTGGTTCTCGCACGAGTTAGAACCCAATGATCTTCTCTACTTCAGCACCCTCCCCCCCCCTCCTCTTCCCCCCCTCAGTGGGAGGATGAATGAATACTCTGCATCCTGCAATCTTGGACAGCAAGTATGAGATGGACATTGATGCATGGAACACCTGAGCCCTGATCCATTTTTGGCGCGATGAAGCTATAGACCACAGGTGGAGCGAATTCTTTAACATTGCTTCGGTTTGGATCATTCTCTGCAACTCGAGAACATGAAGTTGGAATTGCTCTCCCATGAGATACTCCAACCTGCACATCATGGTTTATCCTCAAGTTTTGCTGTGATGGAACAGACAAGCACTGCACTCCCTTTTGCTCTCAAGGAGCAGCAGTCCTGTTCTGAAGATGTAATTCGGTGCTGTAGCCGGATCCTTCTCTGATTTTGCAATCATCGTCAAGCACACAGGATCTGCAACATATGCTCCTGCCATCCTGTCTGTCAAACTCTTGACTCTCCATTTGGATAAGATTGTGCCCATGAGAAGTCTTGCCTCCTTGGCCGTGCATGTGCACTTCCTTTTCCCTCATCATCGACGGCCAGGGCCAATCTGGAACTACAATGTTAGCCTCAACTTGCTTAACAGTTCAATGAATTACATGCCTGAGGTACAAGATCTCACTCTTGCTGAACTTGTTCTTTTTGTTTTGCATTGATCTCGTATTTAGCGTTCTGCTGTGTATGAAACACGTTCCTTGGATGCTGCTCATGATTGCAACCGATTAGAAGAATGCGATCCCAGTACAATACTATGAGCTCTTCATTCTCTCTCCCTTCACTCTTTCCACTCTTTCTCTCTGTCGGTGTATAGATGGATTCAAAAGTCCTTGGAAGGATCGACGCAATTGACTTGAATCATGGTAGAGGGAAAAGCGTGAGAAAGTGGACAGTAGGTTGAAACTTGCTCCAAATTAGGGACTGCCAATGAATGAAGATGATTACCTGATCTGGAGGCATAGGGGTGGCCAGTGAATGAAGATGATTACCGGATCTGGGGGCGTAGGGGTGGTAGGGGTGCTCTCTCTCTCTCTCTCTCTCTCTCTCTCTCTCTCTCTCTCTCTCTCTCTCTCTCTCTCTCTCTCTCTCTCTCTCTCTCTCTCTCTCTC